GTGAATGATGTTGTTTGGGGCGAAGCTCTGGTGGTGCTTGTCTGCGTAGACGGTGAGCCGCAGCCACGGTGTAAGATACACTGTTTAGGTAAGGACACAGCGGGGCTGAACGCGCGGCGCGAGGGATCAGATAGCGTTCGTTCGACGGGCATCCGAAAGGCTGCATTATTGAGCGGCCACCGTACCCGCGGCTGACAGTGTCGCCGGCGGCCAAACGGCGAAACTGTGTGAGAGCGAAAAAAATTATCTCGTTGCCATGACACCCCGGTGCACCGTGGTCTTTCTGCACGAGCGACAACCTCGCTGGAGCTCTGCGCGTGTGGAGCATGAGGCGGCACGAGCCGTCTTTGCCGTGCCCACGGGTCGACGAGTCATCGCCGGCGCCGCTTGAAACCATGGTGAGAGAGAGAAAGAGAGAGAGTGAAAAACAAACTTTATCTGCACTGCGCGAGGAGCGCGCTGTCCTCACCAGTGTTGCCAATTTAGCGGTTTTCCCGCTAAATTTAGCGGTTTTTTGTTTTGTTTAGCGGGATAAATTATTGTTTTGCGGGCGGTGGGATTTTTAGCCGGTTTTATGTAATCTTGGCGGTTTTTTAGAGATATAGAAGTTTTATATCGATTTATTGTCGACTATGCACCTTTCATATCCATAAAGACAAGGATAATAAGCCACAGTCGTCTTCGCTGACCCTCAGTAATGTTCTGGTTTGTGAGAGTGACGGCTGTGACGTCATCAAAACATTAAGACGTCGAATATCAGAACATGCCTCCCCGTTTTGTGCGCGCACGTTTGAACAGCATGAATGTTCCAATTTTTCTTTGACGTTTTTGTCACTGTTTCGTGAAATGGGCGCGGTGAAGTACGCTCAAATGTTTAGAAAGCACCCCAAACTTAAAGACTGGCTACTGGAGGTAATAGCAGACGAGCCAGGTGCCGCTACTTCAAAACGGAACTATCTGCGAAGAATGTGGATTTGGTCATGCACGCTGCAACGAAGAAGCATGTTTCGGCCGCTGCACCTTTCTCCTCTGGTAGCAGACGACTCTACAATTTGAACGGGTCTTACTAGTCACGCACTGCTGAAGGGTCCCTTGCCATGTTCGTATGCGCTCACTCTGCAATTTTGGCTTCGGATCACCTGGGTGAACTGTGGCGTGGCGTGACAGATTTCTAGTCAAAACAAAAGGAAAGCTTTCTTTCAGATGGCATTGATATGATCTATACTGTTATTATACCTTTGTCAAGAATTAAAGCAAAAAAAAAAAAAAAGTTTAAAAAGTCGCTTTGCGCTGTGTTTTGGATTGAGCGGTTTTTTTAGCGGTTTTTGGGATTCCGACTGCGGGTTTTAAATTTTTTAGTTGGCAACACTGGTCCTCACCTAAAGAGCATCATCTTACACCGTGGCCGCAGCATGCCGAGCCTTTCGTTCGTTCTCATCCATGTCAGAAAGAGATTGTGTGGTATGGAATGCGGTTATATACGCACTTGAGCATTCGACCGCAGCGTGACATGGATGAAAACGAACGAGAGGCTCGGCATGCAGCGGCTCAGCGTCTACGCAGACAAGCACCACCAAAGCTTCGCCCCAATCAACATCATTCGCCACGTGGAGATGCGGTTTTTGTCTTTTGATAATCAGCGTATCGGTCTATACGGAACCACACAAAAGCAAATAGAATGAGCGATCACAGCTGGCCTCGCACATATTATGCGAAAATTGTAAATAAGACACCATGCTGGTTTCTGCACAGAAGAAATTAAGCTGTCTGCCGAGATATTGGGGGAGAAGAGGATACGGGATCGGCGTTGAAACGTCAGAACGTCGAGCTCTGGTTCGAATGATTGGAAGGGAACACTCCACTGCACTCGTCGAACCCGTTCGAATACGTTCGACAAGTGCGAACGCTGCACACCGGCGTTCCGCGTTCTAACACGTTCGACCAGTGTAGTGGAAGCGTAGGCAGCTAGCTTTAGGTCAACCCACTAATCCTTCCAATCATAGCTCGGCGTTCTGACGTCCCCTCTCGTCTCCTCCTCTTTCTCAGTGTTTCTACGCAAAATCTGTCTTTGGCATATTTTCGTATTCCATTAATACCTAAGGGCTGTCATTAGCGGCGAGTTGTTTTTGACGGCTCCCTCCTATTGTTCCTTCTCGTGACGTCATTACCCTGCGAAGAGCAACTTCGATAGCGTTTGTAATTAGCATGGTGGAAGCTCGAAATCATCGCACTCTCAAAGCAACGCTGCCAACACCGTCAAAATTAAAGTTCTGGCATTCCTCTTATTTCCGTCGATGAGGAATGCTTTGATGACGTCATAGTCAGCATTCGGTCAGTCGTGGCCGGCCCACCACAGCGACGCTTTCGATCGCGCACGTCTCTAATAGTCGCTGGCAAGGTAAAAATAATTATAATGGAATTAAATGCAAAGGTGCAAGCGAGCTGGACAAGAATGACGAAAATAATCCCTGGAGAAGGGGAACAAGAGGGACAAAGGACAAACACAAATCTCCAAACACAGCTAGGTGACTGGTGCTCGACCGGAAAAATCCGCCTGGTCCGGTTATCGAACTCGGGACCTCTCCATTAATGAAGAGGCCCCGGGTTCAATGCCATAACCAGGCGGATTTTTTCGGTCGAGCACCAGTCACTTAGCTGTGTTCCAAGATTTTGTGTTTGTCCTTTGTCCCTCTTGTTCCCCTTCTCTGGGATTATTTTCGTCAAGATAAAAACGCCAGGGAGTTCATTCAGCTGCACCGCCTCCGGCGCGAGCTTTCCACTTTCGTTAACGCCTCGTAAGCTTCGCGCTTGCGCGCTCAGCCAAAGCACGATGGTAGGCAACGAACGCGTGCTGGAGGCCTGACTTTGCTTTAAATGTGGTTTAACCACAATTGCAATTACTACTACGTGAAACTAAGTTAATTACAATGACAGATTACTTTTAAAAAGTAATGCAATTACTTTACTATTATTTATGAGAGCGACCCAACTTGGGCCATATAACTTGAAACGAGTTGCTTAGGAAACAATGCATCTGTGCATTCCTCGCCCCAATCTTTGAGGAGGAATACCGTAAGCACCGCTGTATTGTATTTTTTAATGAATTTTGTGAAATGAATGATAGAACCTGACAGTTTGGAGTAATGAAGTCCTGCGTTCTTAACCTTTCAATAAATAATAGTAAATTAATTTATATACTCGAAGACGTCAAAACACTAAAGGAAAATTAGGTTGACACGCTTCTGTAAGCCAAGCAAGCAAAAATGCAACAATTAGTCGTATCTCACTATTTTAATAGTATTAATATAAAACTCCAATCCACAAGCGTTAATACGACCACATTCACATGCAAATGTTTCATTTTATTGTCAATTATTTACATTGAGTTTAAATTATAATGGCTCAGAAACATAAAAGAACTGAGTCGGGGCTCCCGAATCAACTGTGTCACTATTCACAGGTGCGAGGTCAGTCTCCAAAATACTTAGGCAAATAATATCCGAAGTAATATCCACAAGACAAACTTAAAAATAATACAAAGAAATAAATACGAGCCAGTACTGGAAGGGGTACGTAAGACAGGCAAAGGAAGAAAAATAACTTTATAGATATTAAAACTTCCGAACGTCAGCTGAAAGCTCAATCTCGAATTTTGTTATCTTTCGATATTTGGAGTGTTTAGGCTATTGTTTTCTGCTCGTATGGCAGACGGCTCCACACGGCGCCGTTGAGGTAGAACCCAAAAAGGACTGTCTCTCAGCCCTCAGCGTAAGCAACAAAACAAAAAACAACGCGACACTACTTTTGTTGTTCGTGTGTGTGCGTGCATGTCTGTGTGTGCGAGCGTGTCACCGAGCGCTAGGCCGCTTGTGCAAGCGCTGAGGCTTTCAGACAGGTTCTGTCGGAGCCGGGAGGTCTTCCAAAAGTAATCGTATTTGTAACTGAAATTTTGCATTTACTGACCCTGGCAAGTAATTATATTACAATTACAATTCATTTTAGCCGAAAGAAATTAATTACAACTACAAATTACCAAAAAGTAGATAAATTACGGTAATTCGATTGCTGTAATTGAATTACTACCTAAGTATGCATCCTCTGGCATTCCTCGCAGGCAGTGATGCCAAAGTTATGGGTACCCGTGCACTCAAGGGACCTCGAGCAACGTTCTAAGCATGCGCGATGCAAAAAACGTCCTACGAAATGGTGTCTCGCGAATGCATCTTATTATGGCGCCACGGGGCGCGTCTCCAGCCGGTGGGTTTAGCGTCCCGTCCCACCCATACATCAGAAATGGTCCCGACCCGAAGTGGCAACAAATGACGTCATCGAAGCTGGAGTGTCACGCTCTCGGATGTCGCAATCCCGGCTGGTTGTCCTCCAAGAAATGCAGGCGAAAAGCACGACCGAAAGCGAGTGTCGCTGTCGTCGCGGCGTCCCAGCTTCTGGCTGCCGAAGGCTCCGCGAACTGCCACGCTGGAGAACGACCTGCAGCCGAACAGGCGTCTGCTACATACCGCAATGCTGCGGGGACACCGCCAGGATCGCTACCGGCGACAACGAGACACCTTTTTGATGACGTCATGGGGCGGAGATCGAGGTATGCGTTAAACACACCATTCGGAGAATGGTTCCTGGCTTCATACCGCCTTTACCTCCCAAAACATAATCACTAGTGGATCCACGCAGCGCTGTTTACCGCTTGAGGTAGGTAGTAGGGGACCCACTAACGATGACGTCATGTACAGAATTTTCAAGCAGCCGCGCTCCGTGAGCTAGTCTGGCCACCGTGGATGAAAAACGTGTTGTTTCGGTGACAGTCTGAAAATCATGAGTACGCCTCACCAAGGCTTCACTATCAGACGATCCACTCGCACCAGCAGCAAGATGGCAGCGCAGGGAGGCCGTACTTCCAAACGTTTATAGCAATCCAGACGAAGGAGGGGGATGAGGGAGATGTGCATTAACGTTTGCCGAATTGTTTTTCTGCTTCTTTCCAGGGCGACTCCGGTGGTCCTCTCCAGTGCACCTTTGACGAAGAGGTGTGGTATCTGGGCGGTGTGGTGTCTCACTCGGTCTACTGCGCGCTTCCAAATATGCCCACCGTGTTCACCAAGGTGGTCTCATATCTTCCCTACATGGCATCGGTGATGAAGAGAAACGCGAGGAATTAAACTCTTTCAAATTTTCTTTTTCAATGTTTTATATTTACTTATAGGAAAAAAAACAGCAGAAACTCAAGGGCAACTTTGCTAAATCCTAGGTTGTGATAACGCTCGATGTTGGTCACATGTGCGGTACTGAGTCCAAGGTTGCAAGTGGTCGCTTTGTGGCCCACGTTTATTTCATAATAACAAGTCCTATATTAAATGCAGACATATAACTTTGATGAGAGAAGCGCGGTAGAAAACCTTCCTGCTCCACGATTTTGATGTATACAATAGTAGTCGCACCAACAGGATGAAGGGGCGAGACTTCTTAAATCGCAACCGAATATTCTTTATACATTCTCAACAAACTTTATGTTTAAATGAGTGGTCCTGTCGCACCAAGCAGGTGGTAAATCAATAAAAAAAAGTTAAAATTTTCTAAATAAATACATAAACTTTTTTATTTTTTTAAGAAAATGAAAACTAAGCTCCCCTTGCCGAGATTATTTACCCTGACCACTATAGGAAACAACTAAGGCTAACGTTGTCGTCGCGTAAGCTCTGCGACGTGGCGATGAAGTCGTCGACGGAGCTGCACTGCTGAAGGTGATCCTGCCACGCCTGAAGCTCCTCGAAGACAGCCTTTTCCGTCTTGACCCTCGACTCCGGGACTTCGGAGCGGAGCTTGAACAGGACGCGGTCCATTACCGCTAGTAGCCACAGCACGTTGCTATAGAAGCGCGGCGTACTGCCACTGCGCACATCGGAGACAGTTACTGTAACCGATAGTTTCACAAGCCAAGGGCGTAGTGATGAGTCCCGAGCATACCGTTCAGTAGCCAATCAGAGCGCGGCATCAGCCGACAAGAACGCTAAAGAACACATCAGAAAACAAGAAGCGTGACATTATGCGGAGCGCAAGTTCGTCTGCATCTCGCACAGAGGTTGCGAGGATGTCAGAATGCCAAGCTCATATTGGCTGATTTAGAAAATATAAATATATCTAGGGTAGACTTCAAGGCGTCTAGCATTGAGGTCTGGCTACTTTTTCTTCACTTGAATCCAATCAGAGCTCGGCGTCGTTCGGACGTCACCGCAACTCCTGCGCAAGAAGCAGACGAACTTGCGCTCCGAATAGGTCCTTTGTTTCTTAATAAAGGGATGCTGAACCAAATATTTCAGTGTCGATAATAAGTGGCGCACTATCTTTTCATGAGTCAGCAGCCGCCGGTGTGCGCGAGCACACCGGCATTAAGCGTGAATGGAAGATATGATGACGTCAATTTCGTTGCGTGTGCTCGCGCACACCGGCGGCTGCTGACTCATAGAAAGATAGTGCGCCGCTTATTATAGACATTGAAATGTTTGGTTCAGCATCACTTTAAGCTCTCAGTGACTGTAGGGGACAAGTTTTGGAAAATTATTAAGGATGCAACAGTTAGTTCTAAGTCTCGAATTCTCTCTCAATTGCGCGCTTTTTGGATTCAATCCAAACTCTTTCAACCAGTATAGTATTCTTACGCGACTCAAAGGATACCAGCAAAGTCAAAATTACGTGTGTGTGTGTGTGTGTGTGTGTGTGTGTGTGTGTGTGTGTGTGTGCGTGTGCGTGTGCGTGTGCGTGTGCGTGTGCGTGTGCGCGTGCGCGCGTGCGCGTGCGCGTGCGCGTGCGCGTGCGCGTGCGCGTGTGCGTGTGCGTGTGTGTGTGTGTGGAACGTATACTGCGGCAGGGCTGGGCAGACATACTCCAAAAAGTATTCGGGATTACAAATAGTCAGATACATATGTTTTAAGGCTCAAAATACAGATACTGAGATACATTTGTCTTTTATGCAAGCGGATATCCCTGAGATACTTCTGCGTAACCGGCAAAAAAACTATTACGGAATAGAGATACCAATACATTTGTTCCCGAACGGTGCTAGGCCGGGGGAACAGGGGGGGGGGGGGGGGGGGGGGGGAGTTTGAGGCGGATATGAACAGTAAATTATGCTTGTGCTCCTTGCTGTGCCATTTTACGCTGTTCCCCTTACCTCTAACTCTTTATCTATCACTAATGCCGCTCAAAGAAGAAAAAAACATGACACCCCCGTTGAACCACCTAGTTACCGAACGGTAAAGACTGCGTGCCAAGCTTGACAAAAGACGTCTGCCCGAAATGAACCCTGTTTTATCGTGAGGGAGCATCTCAAATTGTCGTATTGTAAGCTTCTAAGTCACCCATAGTGGAGGGAGATTGGACAACAGGATCATACTTTTTTCTTCACTTAACTCCTTTACAGCTTCTCTCTGCTGAATTGGAAAGAGTGGAGGGCTTTGTGGGAGGAGCTGATTCTGTTATTCTTGCCCGTAACCTTTTTTAAACCACAGTTCTTTTTATAATGTGGGTGACAGATGGGATACTGTTATAGGGCGGGTTCATATTATAAATTACGAAGCAACTTGCACAAAACAAATGTTTAACTTTTAAATTTATCTTAAAAAGGACAACAAATGCAACGAGATACCCAAGTCTGAGAAAAAATCGCGATACAAGCGATACATCTTAAATGTATTTCACTACTGACATACAAATACATTTTTCAAATGTATCTCCATACAGAGATACAGATTGTCGAAAGTATATCTAAAATACTATCGCGATACTGCCCAGCCCTGTCTGCGGGTCCTTTGGATAGGCCCTTGCAGGTCTGGGGTACAAAACTGCAAAAGATTATCCTCAGAAACACGTAAAAAGAACGCATTTCATCCGCAATTTCATGCTCAAAACAAACAGGCGCATTAAAGGGATGATGAACCAAGGAATTTATACTGTGTTTCATAGTTAGCGTGCAACGCTGTCAAAGCTACTCGCACGAGCGCGGGGCTTGATCTTGCTGATCATTTGCACGCATTCTCGTGCAAAAAAAAAAACGAAAAGAACATAGGTGAAGCCATGCGCTCGCGCAAGTAGCTTTGACAGCGTTGCACTCTAAGTATGAAACAGAGTATAGTGTCCATAATAAGTAGCGCACGTTCTTTCCACGAGCCAGCAGCCGCCGGTGTGCGCGAGCACGCGCAACAAAAATGACGTCAAAGACCTCAATTCGCGGTTAAGATGACAGTGAAATGTATGGGCTTCGGGCCAAAGGAGAATAAAGAGAAGTTTTTCATCTACACTGTGGTGTCTGGTGTAAAAGGTAAGCGATTAAGTGGTCTAACAAGCACGTAGCTTTCACTTGTAGAGATGAAAAGCCTGTCTTTATTCTCCTTTGGCCCGATGCCCATGCATTTCACTGTCCTCTTAAGCGCAAATGGAGGTCTTTGACGTCATTTTCGTTGCGTGTGCCCGCGCACACCGGCGGCTGCTGGCTCGTGGAAAGAACGTGCGCCACTTATCATGGACACTAAATTCTTTGGTTCAGTATCCCCTTAAAACAGTAATACCGCACAAAATAAGGGTGATCCTGCAGGATGTTCAATTTCGAATATGATAGGGACCCGAGACTGCGGTCGTATTCTTCCACCAAACGCATTTTCTTGATATGATTTCAGGTGAAACACATGTTTCATTAAACATATGTATCACCTGTCTCAAATAAAACTAAGTGTTTGTCTGCTGTCTTCAAGAACAAAGTCATATTCTCACATACTGAACTTACGATGGCATGAACGTTCCTATTTATAAATGAGAAAGCAAAGTTTTTATTTATTTATTTCGAGTACCCCACAAAGCCTGTGAAGGCATTATATGGGGAAGGGGCAAACAAGTAAATGACGCCACAACACATCAAAGAAAGCATACTCTCTACAGCGAGCACAAGACTTGAAAAAGGGTGAAGACTATAACATATGCTTACGTGCTAAATAAAAATGCGCCAAATATAATATATATGAAGTGTTTCAGATTGAGCAAGGATTGATTAAATTGTGAGTTTTCTTTTCGAAATACTATATTTTTGTTAGCCCACTTCAGTGCTCAGTGGTGCATAAAAAACAAAGTTTTTGACGATGTGAATTTTAGATGAAAAAGGCCTTATCTTTTCTTGATCCAGTTTGTGAGAAATGAAGTGAGACTGAAGTAAGCATTTGGTTTTTTCGATACCACATTCTTCATACAAAATTATGTGAAGAAATTTTAAGCGGAAGCATAATTGTCCAGGAGGTTGTGGAGGCTTCCACGTTCACACTCAAAGGCACTTTCAGGATTTCATGTTGGACTTTCACAACACCAGTAATAATTTAAAACAAACCTGGAAGATGTATTTTGAATATTTTTATTTTTTTTTTATTGTTGATTGAGTACTGCTCGGAAGGATCCCAGAGTTCGAATGAATATTCAGGTATTGATCTGGTATATATATGATCTGACATTTCAAGGACCACCTGTAAAGTTGCGTTTGATGAAGCCTAACATTGGGTTTGCCTTAGCAGTCATATAATTTATACTATATAGTGGTTCCAGGAGAGAATGTGGGAGGAGTGAACACCTAAATATCTTACCTGCACTGAGGAACTGATGTTGATGTTATTGATGGTGTACACGCTGATTACAAGATTTCGCATTTTGATAAACCGCACGAAACTACATTTTTAAACATTCTGATACATCCCCAAGTGGAACACCAGTTCCCTATTCGATCTATCTCCAACTGGAGAGCCGCACAGTCACCAAGGGCACTTACTCCACAATACATAACGCAGTCATCAACGTATAGACGTATAAACGACGAAATGTTTACAACAATGTCGTTAATTAATAATAAAAATAAAAGCGGTCCAAAAACAATGCCCCGTGGCACGCCCAAAGTGACAGGAATAAAATGAGATGATATGCCGTTAATTTATACTGCTTGAGTCCTACCGTCTGGGTAGTAAGCTGATCATCAGGGAACGTGGTCATATATCGCTAGTGTCTTATATTTTCTGAAGAATCAATTTGTGCGGCACAATATTGAACTTTGTCATACGCATGCGTACTCTAAGTCATGATAGAACTTTACCATTTGAGCTGCACTATAAAGGCCTGGTTAAAATCCATGTTGAAAGGGAGTAATGAAAATTATTTGTGTGTAATATAATGCTATATATAGCATGATTCATAAGTTTAGAGATCATGCATAGAAGCAAAATT